ATCAAGCTTTTTCAATCATCTTTTGTGTTCTACTTTATCAAAAGCTTTTTCAAAGTCAAGATATACAATGCATAAAGGTTTACCCTTTGATATCTCATATGTAATGGTATCAATAGTCTCAATGAGATTTGTTGTGCAGGATTTGTTTGGGACAAAACCAGTTTGCTTATCAGAAATAAGAACATATATTCAAATAAATAAGACAAATTTTTTAATTTTTGTTAAATACATGTTTCGTATATATTTCGTATATATAAATACATTTATTTTGTAAATACATGTTTCGACTATATCATAGCCATCATCGGTTAAAATATATTAAAATGCTTAAATGAAATTATTAAAAATAAGTTGAACTAATAGAGACCTTATAATAAAAACACAATAAAAATGCAATTAAAAAATTTAACAAATGTTTTAAAAAAATTAAAAGACCCAGTAATGTTAAAAGGGTCTAGATAGAAATTGTCATTTTTACATGGTTCATTTGTTTATTAATTTTATATTAATTAGGTTTTTCCCACTCTATGTTATGCTTTATTTGAGTTTTAATATAAATTTGTCGGAGGCCGAATCCAAAATTGAAAAACTAGCATGATTAAAACTATTAAAACAGCTTTCATTTGAATGAATATGTTTATAAATGTGTGTTTTTATCCTTTTTTTGGTGCTCGATTATTTTTCTTTAAATGGCGAGTAGTTTCGCCAATATAACAGGATTTACAGCCTGTGCATTCAAATTTTTAGACAATGAATGAATTAAAGTCTGTAGGAAAGGGATCTTTTGTGGAAAAAAATGTTGAAATTTTAAATGAAGTAAAACACCAATCTTACCGATTTAAAATATCTATTAATGATTGCATTTAGTCTTTGTTTGGTTAAATTAGATATTTTTCCAATATAAGGAAGTTTAAAATATTGATAACTATGTAGGTTTTCCGAACATGATGAAATGTTGACATTAATGTTGTTAATATAAGAGCTATGGATTTTCTTAATCAACCATGAAAGGGTACAAGTTGCATTTGAGAACTTTAAAAAGATTGTTAATATCATGACTAAGACCAAGACTAGTGTATATAAAGTTCTCAAACACAACTTGTACCAATCTTGATTGATTAAGAAAAACCATAGCTCTTATATTCACAACGTCGATGTCGACAAAACATCACTAATAGCTCAGACCACAGTATCACAAGATACAGCATAAATTGATTCAAACGTTTGGATAAAAATAACAATGAGATGGAAGAGATGAAGGTTGGAGTTAAGAAATTCTCATATTCTAAAATAACTTGAATTATAAAAAATAAAAGATATAAAAAAATAAAAATAAAAAAAAAAAAAATGAAATAAAAAAAAAATTTTGTTTTATAGAAAATATGTAAACTTCTATAATTTTTCACATTTCAAGCATTATAGAGATGTAATGCAAGTAATATTGCTCAGGCTAAAACCCCAGTAGATGTAATAATAGTTTAGTAGATATTTTACAATACTTCTTTTGTGAGATAGATATATATATATATATATATATATATATATATATATATATATATATATATATATATATATATATATATATATATATATATATATATATATATATATATATATATATATATATTTACATATTAACATATATACATATTAATGGTTTTGGTTAATAAGTAAAGTTCTTTTGGTATTTTTGGTA